TTTACACACGTGCAAGGACGTGCATGACGTGCAATACGTGACTTTGTAATCATCCGGTCTCGGTATGTTTTTAGAAAATAAGTGTGGTGCTTGTCCTCGTTTATAAACCGTTATTGGTCGTTGGGAAACCAGACATGTGTCAAAAGGTGGCGCCCTACACAGTTGATGGAATAATAAAATTGGGAGAGAGGCAACCTCGTCCCCAGTGCGTACTTTATTTCCAACATCGTTTCCAATAGTAATGAGAGAGAAGGTAGTGATGGGCGCGTACTGCTAGACACCCTGGGGACGAGGTTGGGAGAGAGGGGCTGTGATAAAGACACGTCATGATAATTATGGGCTAATTGGGTCAAGATTTGGGGGGGGGGGGACGGGGACCGGGACCGGGTTAAGTGTGGAAAAGTTGGAGCGGGCAATTCTTTAGGCTGGTGGAAACACTGTTTGGGCATAAAGCAACAGGTTTTGTTCAGGGTTTTGGGGAGGGTGAGGATTGCAAGGATCGAGTTGGTTGGAGGGGGGGGGGGCAGTTAATGACTTGCCTTCATCTCACAAGGTATTCCCCTTCACTCAATGAAGTTCCAAGAACTTAGCCACTTTCCTTGTAGATATTCATCTTATGCTGCATAGCAGCCATACTTTGCCAAACTGTTTGCTAAAATGAAAATTAAAGCTGGCATTCCGAAAAAAAATACCTCTTTAATCTCAACACTAAATTTAATATTAGCAGATGGTACAATTAAGCAAAACAAAGATGACGTCTCGTTTCTCTTTATTGTAATTGTAAAAATGCCATTTGTAGCGAAATCTGTTATCGACCACAGCTGAAAAGTGAAATTTATGTCACTGATGGTTGCCAAACAGATGGCCCCAGATTTATAAAACAAAAGATAGGTCTATAGACCCTTTTCATGGCAGCCATCTTAGAGGTGCAGAGCTTTTGCTCCACAGGGATACACTCAAGTAGCAAATTTTTCGCACATTGTTGATACATTCTGCAAGATGGCCGTGTCAACAGCTTCACACTGAATAAATACTACAAAAATAAAGATACACCGAGACAGATATTTAGTTCCCCTCTGAAGTTCATTCCTCATTTATTTCCAAAGTGGCAATGTTCTTAAGAGCCCCACTCGACAAGACCATTTCTTAATTTACAATGTGAGGTTTCATACATTTTTACTTTTTTTCTTAATCTGCCAAACAGGCGCTGATCGAAGGCTAACGTTTAATTCTTTTTTATTACAATTATTCATTAATGTACTAAAAGCAAAACTACAGCAGTGTAATAATAATTATAATATAAACTCGACTGCATTACATGACAAACCCAGTCAGCTAGGTCTGTAATCAGTAAATGTTAACCACAATATAAATTAAACAATCTCATGAACGTTGGATACTTTAGTGTGGGACTGTTGACTATTTCTACAACTAGATGTACCTGTGGTATATGTGAACAAAAAAACAAAACGTAATGGACAATGTTACAGGGGGTAGGGAATTACAAATATCACATCAGTTCAATATTGAAACACCACCTTATGAATATTCGTAATCGGCCAGGAATGAATAAAACACAGTTAGGATTGACTTAGACTGAGGAAATACTTTTTGATTTGACAGTTAATTTCAACACCATCCTGAATGTAAAAAAAAAAATGCACCGGGACTTTTAAGCATTATTACTTTGTGCTTGGGAAATCATTTTTTCAAATTGAGGATTATCCTTGTCGTTAATTATGATTTGTTCTTTGGTATCAAACCGAAACAAAACACATTTTGGGGCAATAGGCAATACAAGAAAAACAGGCCTGTATGATTATAATGAGTCCGTTTAAAGGGTATGGAAGTGCCATTTTTTACCTTTTAATACTACTAGACAGAGTTGCGCATTGGTTGTTCTGCTGATTTACTTGAATACAATTTGCTTAAAAATTACTTCAAGTAATATGCACAATAACACACATACTAGGGAATCGGTCATAACTCTGACGATAGATCTGAGCATTAATGGTTTTTCCCATAAAAAAAACTGGAGAAGTATCAACTGTTTGTAGTTCCATGTGCTACCAAAATGGTTAAATGTTATTTGGAAGAAATCTGGGTCGTTTAAACAGAGTATTTTAAAGATTTGTTAAGCAGGAATTAGTAAACAAGTGTAGATAATTTGGGCAGAACCAGAGGGGTTTCCCTACCCCTTTTCCAACCCCCAACCCCCCTGAAAAAAACCCAACCACCATATACCAAAGAAATTGAACTTTGACCCATCCTCTGGTCCCACCCACACCCCAGTACAGTTCACGGTCATAACTTACACTAATACCTAAGATACAAAATTTCCAAAGTGCGTTTCTGTATTTACATGTTTGTGTTTCTTTTTTATGTGGCTTGCACTACAATCGAGACAAGGACTTCATCAGCAAATTCACGCAACAAGTGTCTGACAAGACAGGAACGACGACGTTAACATGTAAGCCATAGTGCCATCCTTGAAAGCTGGTTGAGCAGAATGGCTATGGCTAATCTAAAGGCTTTGACCGCCAATACAAACAAAATCACATTCCTCTTCACTAATCTAAGAAAAAAAATTTTGTTGATGTTAAAGGGAATGTACATCATTGGCTTTTGTTGTAATTTTCAGAAATGAACTATTTTGGGGGTTAGTATAATAGATCAAATATTGTTACACTGACATATTTGCAGTTTTGTGTTCGAAAAATACTGGGGGGAAAAAAGAAAACCAAAAATCTACAAGTAGTCTGGTTCCCTGATTCCACTAAAGATAAAATGGATCAATTTATAGATGCCGGAAAATTGTAAGGTATGGAAACCAGTCTAGCTGGCCTGCACCCATTCACGAACATGTAACCAATAGCAAACACAATTTGGACTGGAGAAAAAAATGGTAAATTTGGAGCAGTAGTTGAAAAATAGTTAGGTTTTTCCAACGGTGGTCGGCCGACCACTGTTGGAAATTTATACAAAATACCACTTTTCTTGAAAATGATTTCACACCAGGTGCCATAATTTACAGGATGCTTTAGACTGTTATTTACCAACATCCTAGTGAGGTATTTCTTAAAAATGTGGTAGTTTTGTTTTTCAATGTTTGCAAATGTTGTATATTCCCTTTAAATGTGTCCCAAGCCTGAATGAAAAAATCTGTGTATTCATTGTTCATATTGCCTGAAACAGGTTACCATCCACTGACCAATACGGGCCTAATTTCATGGTTCTTCATCCCTGCTTACTGTAGCAGAAAATTCTGTGCTTATGGTAAGCGTGTTTCACAGGTTAGCGAGGAATTTTGGTTTCCGCGCTTGCGTACATCCTGTAACTAAGGATTCTGTGCTGACAGCGTAAGCACATAATTTTTCTGCAAGCGCGGTTAGCACATAATGGTGATCATAAGCACGGAATTCTGTGGTTAGCAGAGCCATGAGCCATGAAATTGGGCCTTGGACTTGCTGACAATGCCTACACACTGAAGCCGCTGGCCACCATCTTGGGACACCCATGACGCACGCGTAGTTGGTATTGGATTTTTTCTTCAGCGTTAAGGGGATGAAAATAAACATTGTATTTTCTGCCCTGCTTTTGACATTTAAAACAACCTATTTCCTAGAACTGGCCAAAATGCAAAGGATAATCAATGCTAGGGGAATAGTTGTTTTGAGTGAACAAAAAAAAAATCAACTGCAGAACATGACATTTGGGGGATCCAAGATGGTAGATGTGTTACTTCAAGGTGCAATGGACACTCAGTGGGTGGCAGCCAGTCCAGTTAGTATAGAAAACAGCACATGTACCAGCAGAGTCCATTCTATTCACCTGCACTGGTTATAAAACCAAGTCGTTGATTTGTACTGGAATTTCATTATTGTAATCATGAGCCCTGAGCCCTGGCTGCAACATGGAAACCATTAAGCCTAGTTTCCATATCGACGTAAGAAACGCAAACATGACCCAAACTGCAATGCAGACATATGGAAACATTTCATCCGGAAGTGTCGCTGACAACTCAGACAGACGCAAATTACCTGGCAGACGATCGGCACAGTTCCGCGTACTGTCTGAGCAGTCTACGTAGTCTGCAGAAGCTTAACGTTGATATGGAAACCAGCTTTTTTTGTAACTAAAAAATGCTGAATGTTCATCCTAAACTATTTGGAAGAATACCGCGACAAATTTTATTATGTTAAAAAAAGAGCAAATCACTACAAAAAGTTGCCCTCTTTTTGTCCGCATTTAGAAGTATTCCTTCACCCTTTATGGCCAAATGAACGTCTTGTTCTCTTTTGAGCCAAAGAGAAGGGGTAGTGAGGCAAGTTCTCGTTACACTGGAAAGCAAAAGCGAAGTTGATAGTGTCATTAATTATCGTGAAGTTTGCAGTTATCCTGACAAAAATCTGCTTTACACTGAAATTTTCCTGAAGCATCAACTGGCCCGTAACCTGTTTATACTAAAGATACAAAAAGGAATGAAAGCATTTTTTCTCCTTTTACGTCCCAGACGAGACTTGCACAGCCATACAGTGCACAGACTTGTTCTACATCGGTTAACATATTAAATAATACATACTTTAAAGATATTCATACAAATTAACATAAAATAATGAATAAAGAGCTTCTGTGCTCTTAATTCAACACATGCTCTCTTTTTTTATATTCGATCAGATAATTTTTGAGACATTAACCAAACAAAAAAAATCAGTAAAACTTAATTTAACATATTCCTGTGATTTCAAAATGAGAAACCCACAGAGAGCAATAGATTCAACAAAATGGTTATTGTTAATTCAATGAAGCAAACATTCGACAATAGTGATGTTATTCTTTAAAACTTGTCCACTCATTCAGAAACACTGCCATGCAATTTATATTTGGTCCTGTTTGATACAAACCTAACGTGTTTTCTTTTTCCCCCTTCAATTCCCTTATAAGTGACCAGCAGTCAGGTCTGCCTGCCCAATGATGACGACTGAAATGACACTCAGTGGTATCGAGAAAATTATAATTAACCTGGGGTTTATTTTGACAAACAAATGAGATACAACTTCGTTATACTTTCTACAAAAAAAAAAAATCAACAAGAAAAATATTTGGACAAGATGGGGTGTGTTCAAACATACCTGCAAATAAATGATATATCTGTCCATTTTAATTCCAAAAACTAAGCTAAAGTTCTATTATCTGTAAGACAAATTAAGACAAGATTATTAGTAACAATGGAGTTCCACGGAACCAAGGAGTATCACAGTGACAACTGCCCCCCAAAAAACTGCTGGACCATGCTCGATGAAAATTATTGGCAACTGCAGTTGAAATTGACTCAAATACTGTCTGACTGATGAACAGATTTGTCCGACCCGTTTCATCATCAAGCCGGTCCCGTTGTACAGACTACGGCTTAGTCACCGGTGATCGACTGCCATGAGCCATGCTATTAACCAAGACCACATTGACAGAGTACCGATCCACCGACAGGTACTCTCCAAAGACTTTTTCCCTTCTGGACAGTTTTCACTTTGCGTAGAGAGATGGTATTACGGGATCAACAGTCGGCCAATAAACCTACAGTACACGGTGCTATTCGTATCCTTGTTGTTTTGGCTGATATTCTGAAATCATTTCAGAAGCATTAGTTGGACATGTCCAAACACTGCCAGCTGAATTTGTATTTATTGACAGTTTCAGCAAAGAGGGAAGTATCAAGTATCTTCCTTATTTTCATTTCCAAAAAAAAAAGCACAAAAAAAAGATATAAGCTTCAGTGGTGATACGTGGAACTGGGCTGAACGTAATACTTCATTTAGCTCAAGTCCATTATTTTAAATTTCAACAATCAATGATAAATATTGTTATATTAAATGCACAATATTACATGCAGACAGCCACAACTTCGATAGAGATATATACGTGGAGTTCCCCAAAATAAGCCAAACACTCAAAAATTCCTACCAAACCACAATCATAAAAAATAATTTCCTCACAGCTAGTTCCAATGCCATGTGATTTGCACAGTAACAGAGGTTGGGAATGACATAATTACTTCTTACCTTTGCAACAATTATTTATATCCCTTTTATTTGGTATCACAGGAGGAAAAGGACAGGGAAGAAAAATTACGACCCCCTTCCCGGATGCCAAACAAACACCTGGGAATTTGCATTCCGTTTTAAAAATGCCACTGCAAGTTTTGTGTCCTTAAATCTGTCTGTCACATTAGCTCCGTTAAGATACATGTAGTTTCCAAGTTTCTCGTTTTGATGAATTTAAGTCTGATTAATAGCTGGTTTTATTCACAACGACAGAGTTTGAAGGAATGAACTTCGCCTTGATCAGGGCATAAATCCATGTATTCCACAAAAGTCTTGAAAAAAAATCCCTTTAAAAGCAGCTACAGCTATTATCCAAAAATCCTCAGTACCAACAATACACCAAGACCAGAAAGCAAAAACAAATCGGGAAAAGTAAAAAGACAAATTTACACAAGACCGTATCATTTTTGTTTGTACACTTTGAAAAAGGAAAAAAAAAATCAACATTAATTTAAGATATAAGTGACGACATCATTCTCTCAATTTCATCCGAGTTGACGCGACGGCCACATCAAACAAGGAATCACCAATTTTTGGTTTGCTTTTTTAAGGACACAATTCCAGCACGTGCCACACAAAACAACAGGCTAGGATGATTCTCAGACAAACCAGGCTATTTATAATAGTACAAGCCCCCGTGTATTTTATTTATTTTTTTTTCTTCCTATATTCGTGTAATTAAGAGCAGCACCCCCCACCACCTTGTTTAACCGGTGTGCTGCTGGGGTTGATTTTGTCATGTTTGCTGTCGGAGGGGGCACTGCCGGGTCCCATGCGGTTCTTGATCTCCGCTGCCATCGTCATGAATGCCTGCTCGACGTTCGTGGCGTTCTTGGCACTTGTTTCGAGGAAGGGGATGTCAAGCTGATCTGCATATTCCTGCAATGTCAAGAGGAGTGGAAGGGGGAATAATTTAAAGGACCAGGGGCAGATTTCATGAAGCTCATCTTTTCTTGCGACTCATCTTAGGACTTAAGACGAGTCCCCGCTCTAAGATCGATCTTAGCTCAGACGCGTCCTAAGACCGATTTCACTAAACCCATCTTAAGCAAAACACAGCAAAACTGCCAAATTTGATGGCTGTTTCATGTTTGTTTTTACCGATTGACGAAACAGTCGTTGAAAACTACCCACATATCAAAATCTTTTCAAATCTGTTTTTACAGTGATTTTCTTCCTCGAACTATAACTGTAGGCCGACACTCGTCTTTAATGGCAACGATTTCTGAGATGATTACGCATGCATTCCCCCTGACTGATCTTACGTTTAGACAAGTTCAGCCGCGTGAAAGGACGTTAGGACATGTTGAACGCATCTTAAGTTTGGTGAAATCGATCCTAGTACGAGTTGCAAATTAAGACGAGTTACCCTTCCTAAGATGTGTCTTAGCATTTTGTGAAATTGGCCCCAGACCTATAAAGTTCAACCCATGGTAAGGACAGCAATGTGGTATTCAATGAAATATCAAATTGATCTGTTATAATCACAGCCAGTGTCACGCTTTTAAATTGGTGGATATGCAAATCACACCCAATTAAAGGTTGAGTAGACGATATGTCACTGGTGCATTTGTTTTCGTTTGAAGCAACAAAAGTTCTCAAAATCTAAAGACGGGTGTTTAACAACTAACCCGATGAAGCATTAGTTCTGTTAATGCTGCATATTCCAAGAAAAGTCAATTCTTTTTGATCTCGATTTCAATTCAAAAGTTTTGGTGAGTCATGAAACAATCCTAAATCAGCAAACGGGACACGATAACATTCAGTGGTTTGTTGCAACATGATGTCACACACTGAACCAACAATGCTTGCTAATAATTGCAACCGTGCGCACGCGCATGTGTGCGTCGCGTCAACACACTTGCACCCATTCATGGATTCGCTCAATTACAAACCAACTGCCAACGGAAATTTCCAAAAATGTGTCACTTTGGGAATAACCTTTTATTGTTTCTTTAAAATGACAGCACGCCGGAAGGAATAATTTCAAAGGGAGTTTATTGTCATTAATATCTTTAAACCCAGTAAGATTTTTAACAATAATATGGTCGGTTACTTTTTGGATAGATGCAAATGGTCCACTCTACCTTTAACCCTTGACTAGAATGACACCATAGTTTGTGCTTCAGAAAATCATTGTTTATATTTTCAGTGTAATTTTTTAACTATTCTTAAAGAAATACATCAAGACAGAAAAAAATATCCAAATTCTCCAGATCCTTCAAAATCAATCAGCAGCTTGGGAGGATTTTGCAGGACTGAGGAGAATCCAGACCAGTCAATATTCTAGAGCCCGATGCACTCCATGTGTGCGTTGATGCGTTCTAGCCAAAATACCAAGCAGACTTTAGGTCAAGGTCTACTCCAGTCTCTTACCTTTGCCGTTGTGTAGTCCACGACCTTCTTGGTCGTCAGGTCACACTTGTTGCCCACCAGTAGCTTGTTGACGTTCTCTGACGCGTAGCGGTCGATCTCTTGTAGCCACTGCTTCACATTACTGAACGATTCCTGAAAAGGATTCGGTCAGAGAGGAGAAAGAATGGAGTTATCAGCCACTGTTGCTTTGACATTTCAACTATCGGCGAAAAAAAACTGCATAATAGAATACACCCAGAACAATACACAAAATAGAAAATTCTCAAGGACTTTTTTACACTATTGCCTCGCCAACCCGTGTTGAAATCAACAAGGGTACACCATAAGCGGAGCTGGGTCTCATTGAACATGGGTAGGCAAGGTGTACCAGTAACTCAAACTGAGTTTCACCCAGGTCAGATTTGGATTTTCTACCTGGCTAGAGCCTCTCATCCCTGGTCCCGACCAGGGTTGAATTTTGATAGAGCACCAGACCCATGTAGGAGCCGTGATAAATTTTTGCTACTGTGAATGAGGCTCCCGAATTCTCTGTATTGGGTCCGGGTCCAACACAGCTAACAAAAAAAATTGTCTTTCAATTGAGAAAGTACAATTCCTAGTTCAATTCCTAGTTCAATTCCTAGTTCAGCTAGGAGTCTGAAGATGTCATGTGGCCCAAAACTCTTGTCATTTTTACTAACGTGAGTTAATATTACAAATCTGCTGCTGTATTAACCCTAACCCCCCAGGATGATTTACAAGGAAACTTCCTTACTCTTGCAAATTCCAACACCCCCATGTAAAGCATAATCAGTTTAATAGTGCAGGACTCATCCCAACAGATTCCAACAAACACTGGTGATGGAGTTTGACTGGGTAAGGATTGTTAGGGTTAACAGACATGCAACTGTGCCTTTGCTTTAAAAAATGGAAGGCATTCCACCAAGAGAGAAAAAAAAATGATATCACCTGATTTGCATAAAATTGATGACTAAACCAAAATTGATTAATCACAATTTACACACTCAAATGCAGCACACCTCAATTAAATATTTCTTTTGAGTCATTTAAATAGCCTTTTTTGTTCTTTGTCTGAAAAATACTATTAGAAATTTTAAATTATTTGAATTACCATACTCCTATTACTAATGCATGTACTAGAATGCCCATCATCACTGACTCTTAACAGTATATTTTTTTTTAGATATTAAATTCTGTGTGTCTTTCTCACCTGATCTGTAACATCATATACCACAATGATTCCATGTGCACCTCTGTAGTAGCTAGATGTGATGGTTCGGAACCTCTCCTGGCCTGCTGTATCCCACTGTCAGAACCAACAACAAACAACATTTAACAAAAGTCTGATTTTTATGAAGAACTCTCTCAACTTTTAGAGACATTTCCTTGCATCATACCTATTGTGACTGAAATCAAATATTTTGTTTTATTGGTTCATGAGATAAACCTTGAACAAATTGAAGCTTGTATTTGACAAAAGTTTGGTTCAAAAACAGAAAATGACTGAAATGGGATTTGACACTCGGACCCATGGCACACGCTGGTGCTCAACCAAAATGAGCCATCAACCTTGACATTGTTGGCGTCTTAATTTATCCATATTTTTGTCCAAAGGATAATGTTTGTCTGATTCACTGTCAGTTGTCATTGAATAGGTTGCAGTATGTTCAGACTTACAGGCCATAATCCAGAAGCCATACGGTTTTGAAAATTAAAAAGAAAAATTCACTAAATCCCCAACAAATCCTGCATGTTAAGAGGAGGTAGATCATTTTTTGGCATCGAACTAATCCTGATTATTCATTTCCATAATCAGGGATTAGTTAGATTACAAAAAGATGAACATACTACCTTCTCTTGATGGATTTGATTGACCCAAAAATGTCACACACACAACAAAATGAAACTAGGACAGTTGGCATATCTGTTGCATGGCAGTCGTCAATGGACCATTACAGCACAGAGATTATCTTCGGGACAACCACCACTGATCCAGCTTTTGTTGAAACCAAAGAAATCCACTCCCAAGGATCAAAATACTGTACAGCAAGCTGGACAAAAGGTTCTTGAAAGGAAGAAAATCTATCGCCTTCGCCAGTGGCGTCGGCAAGATTTTCAATAGGTGCACAATTTTTTTTCCACAGTGCGCGAAGTTCTCATTGTATTTATTTTTATCAGTCAGCATAGGTGTAGGAACCACACTTCAGTATAGACTTTTCCAATACGCGAACACTTTAATCCATGGAGCCCCCCCCCCCTCCCCCTCAATGGCGAAACAAACGCTGTACATCCATGGAGGCCCCTGTCAATGGCGAAACCATTGTGGCAGTTTATGTTCAGATAACCTGTCATGTGGCAGTTGTTTTGAACAATAGCGTGCACAATGCTTTTGCAACTGAAGTAGGCCTCTGTGAATGTACATGTACATTGATAAGCGTGCTCACAACGGTCCATACAGTGCGAGGAGGTACCCATAGTTCCCAATGCATTCAAGGGCGGATCCAGGGGGGGGCCAAAGGGGGCCATGGCCCCCCCCCCAAAACGAAACCAATTTTTTTTTTTTTTTAATGTGACATCGCAATAAAGGCAGGCAATGAGTACACCACCATCTTTTCCTCAAAAAAAATTGGTTAAAGTGGTCAGAAATTGCCTCAGATCGCACCACAGAGCATCTAGAATCCAAAAATTTTTCGGGGCCCTCACGGGCCCCGAACCCTACGCCGTAATTTTTGAGACCCACTTTTTTTGGGGGGACCAAATTTTTTTGGGCCCCCCCAAAAATTGTGTTCTGGATCCGCCCTTGAATGCATTTCTACGAAACCTTCCTCCATCCACACATATCATGTACAAATCTTTCAGTATCACAAAGGATATCATGGTTTTTGGATAGGTAGAGCATAGTCACTATTACATTGGGTTTGACGCCCCTTGAAAGATTGAGCTGAAAGGCTGTGCCATCAAGGCCCAATGTCATGGCTTTGCTTACCGTTAGCAAAAAATCCCTGCTTTACTGTAGCAGAAAATTCCATGCTTACTGTATTGCGTATTTCACAGGTTAGTGTGGAATTCTGGCTTCTGCGCATGCGTACATCCCGTAACTAAGGATTATGTGCTGACAGGCTAGCGCGGTTAGAACAAAATGGTGATCGTAAAAATGGTGATCCAGACTTATAATGGCTGTTGCTGTTTCGTGCAAATCTGTACTTACAATTTGAAGTTTGATTGTTTTGCCGTCTAATTCAATGGTTCTGATTTTCTGCAAACAGAAGAAAGGGAAAAGTAAGTCAGAGAGTTTCTTTAGCAGGTATTTTATGCATGTACACAGGAAATGCAATTGACGTACAGACACAGCATACAAATGCACAAGGGACTACAGCAATTTGTTTCACAATTAGAACACATGATATTTCAGATATGTAAGACTATTGAATTGTTAAAGCATATCTTGGTTTCCAATTGATGAAAGGTTAAAAAAAAACCTGTGAAAGACAAAACCGCACAAATATTTCTCCAGACACATGTCCAAAATACACGAAATTCAAAAATCAAGATACTACAGGTAAATGCAATTCTGAATTCAGTCCACTGGCTGTGAATGGGGACACTACATGCAGACAGTTTCTTCTACTAGCCATAAAATTCATCAGATTATGATGATGTAATATGATGATGCGACAGATGTTCCTAAAGATTGTTTTATAATTAACTGTTACAATGTATAAACATCGTGCATGGCATAATATAAATGCACCAAGCAACAAAATCAAACCATAATATTTTTCATGCTAGCAACATTGGACTCGATGCGCATTTTGAACTGTTTTTCTATCTTTATGTTTGAATGAATGACTATTTTTCGGAGACTAAAAAAGAGTCTTCACTTTGATTCTCATCGAACTAAAAATCAATATCTAAACGTGCATCAAATATTTTCAAACATTTCACAGGAATAAATTAATAAATGGGTCATTTACATGTGCAATGTACCATGTGTACCAGCACATTTTACAAGGGTGACTTTTAACACCTCATGATACATATATTTCCTGTATCTCGCTCTCACTTTTTGTGTTATTATGAATTCCAAGATTTTAAAATAACTGGTGCATTTCCAAGCCTACTAAATTATTTCACTTTGTCATGAATAATGGCAATTTTGACCCCCCCCAAAAAAAACATTTAGAATGCAATCACTTATCATTTACAAGCATTTCAAAGCCTACTAAATTATTTCACTTTGTCACGAATAATGGCAATTTTGACACAAAAAAACAACATTTAGAATGCAATCACTTATCATTTGCAAGCAACAAATTTATCACTTGCACATGTTTACTCTCAAAACAAAAAATGATGGTCTTCTCAAACATGAAAAAATGGTGGTACACGTACAATGTATTTAGCATCAGTATAAACACTTTTTCTGCATATATATTTAACAATTTTCCTACGGATTAGTTTCACTGTTTTAACTTAATTGACTCATATACTGTTTACATCACACCCTTTCAGTTTATGTACATGTACCATAATGCGCGCGAAAGAATGCTTCAATATCTCATAACACGTATACAGCAACTTGCAAGATAAAAATGAAACTTACAAAGTCTACACCGATTGTGCTGATGTAACTTTCTGTGTAAGTGTCATCCTGTAATAGGAATGGAACAAGGAGGAAATGAATGGTAAGTTTCAGTACAACGTTAAACCATTGCAGACAGGAAATAAAAAATCCTTGGGTGATAGTAGGTGTAGAGCAACATAATCATTATAATAAATCATGATGTACCTTGTAAATAAGACTGTAATGCAATAATATTTCAATTCTTGTTTCGGTTTTTATTCCTTTATCTGGTTACAAGCCACACGTATATTCAATGTCTGCATTCACCAGACTGTAAAATACATAGGACAAGGGTAATACCTGTGACGATACCACATTTGAAAAGTGAACCATGTTTTGAAATATTTTTCCAGTGTGAAGCCTTATCAAGTGCAATGGACCCTATTCACGAGGTAGCCATGTTTGTCGTGTTCCCTGAATGTATTTCATAAATTGTTAACTGTTGAGTGGGATGACGCCAGACTATTTATGCGGCCTTATTTGTCTTTTTTTTTCTTCTTTTTTTTAAATCTGGCTTAAAACACTAGGTAATGTTTAATTACAAATTTTAAATTATTCATTTAAGCGGACTTGAATTATTTAGTAATGTACTTGCTTTTATTTCTCTTCGCAAGTTCCAAAAATGAACATTTTACCTCACTTTCAATTCAACATGGCTGACTCGTGAATAAGGCCAATTGGAAAATTATGCAAATCCGACAGTCACTTAACCCTATCCCTTGAGCTTTTTACTAGAAAGTATCCTGAATCCGCCAAAACCCATCAATTTTGTCTTGCAAAAAAAAATGTTGGTGTCCTGAGTCCATCAGAATCCACCAGTGAGTCTATCAGAATCCACCAGTGTACACACCAAACATATAGCCAAGGAGTTAAACTGTTGAGATCCTGAACCCATCAAAGTCCACCAACTGTTCAATATGGAGGTATTCTGAATCCATCAAAATCCTGCAGTATCGCTAGGCTTACTGTCCTGAATCAATCAAAATCCCCCACCTTTTTCAATAAGGAGGTATCCTGAATCCACTGAAATCCTCCAAAACAGGGGTGTGGATTTTGATGGATTCAGGTACGTTAGGGTTAAAGAAGCACAGCTGATGGGGTTCTTAGAAAGTACCAAAATAAACAACATATTTTTTTCCAATGGCTAAATGTCATCGGAGCTAAAGCTTGAACGAAATATGACAAGATTAAAGTATTACATAATTGACAACAAAGTATTGACGTTAATAGTCACTTCAGATACAATTTCGAAGTCAATTTTAAGAAAAGCCCTATTTCATATAAAATGTCAAAGAGATTCTACTTACAGCGAATCGTAATAGCAAGCAGGATTTTCCAACACCAGAGTCTCCGATCAGCAGGAGCTTGAAGAGAAAATCACTGTGGAGGAGGAAACACAAAAGAAAAGATGCACGTTTGTAATATGAATATGATACATTGTAGCAGTGACTATGTTAAACTATTGTATGTGCACAATTATACTTGCGTATCTTCAATTTGTTCTTTCTTAGGCTTTTCAGCATCTTCATATGTCATATGATACACTGTACCCGTGTACATGTACTCAACACATATACTTGTTCATATATTTAGCAAACGTGAATGCGACTTTGTGATGTCGTGTAAATTTTTTAACCCTAACTCCCTAGGCCTTTTTGCTAGGATGTAACCTCAATCCTGCAAAATCCTCCAATTGGCCTCATGGAAAAATAGCATAGGCCCCTATAGCCTCAATCCTGCAATTTCCTCCATTATTTCTTGAATATGGTTCGTGGAGAGGTGACCACTGCCTGAATCCTGCAAAATCCTCCGGCTGTGACTGTCAATAGGCTGAGGCAGAGGCAGTGACATCCTAGAGCAGTGCGGAGGATTTCAAGTATAATCAAGGACTAAATTTATGCTAGGCTGAGCATAAACAACACAAGGTCCGGCCCAAGACCTTGACACAGTGCGTACTCCGAAATCAGCAACCCACTTTTGCCATGTAACCTCAATCCTGCAAATTCCTCCAATTTGCAAAAAGGATTTTGGAGGATTCAGGGCGGTTAGGGTTAATAGACTTGAACACTTTTCAACTTTTGATAAAATACATTTAAGAATGTTTAACTACGTCAAATTCGCTTCAGATTTGTATTCATTTGATTATGAACCAGCTTTATTAGAAAATGTACCATTACTATTGTACAGCAGTGTAAATCCTGGTACCCTTACAATGCGTTATGCAGGTTCATTGTTCTTTCTTTCCCTGTAAACAATCTTAAGTTGCCTTATTCCAATACTTGTGTGTCTTGCAAAATTTAAAAAAACAAAACGCACATTGTGGCACGATAAATATCAATCTTTATTCTATTTTTCGAAGTCTATGATTTCCTGTGACAATGCAAGCAGCCCTCACAATGTACATATTACAGGTCTAGTGTGTTAACTTTTCAATGGCACCCAACAACCATCAATTTTAATGGGGTCAAATGAAAGCAACGGTAACATACCAACAGAAACAACATCTGATTCAGATTCTATTTTCATTATCCTGAATCTTGATGCCTGTGATGATTCATGAGTCTGTATAAACCCTTTGCACTCAACAGCCATGTTGAGGTAATTTTTGTTTCTGTTATTATTTAGTAATGATTAATAAACAAGTGGTGTACTAGTGTTCGGATCAAAATCCTGATTTTTTAATTATTCGGTGTAAATTCCACTATGTAGTTTAGATTTTGGAAAACGGATATTTGAAACTAACCTTAAAAACAATAAAGCCTTCCTTTTTTTTTGGTAACACAAGTTAAAGAAAGCTAATGGAACTCCTTCCAATTTGCTCCACGGTCTCTGATTGTAACTGCATTCACCTGTTACCAGTCTTTTTGGTTCATGACCAGCCTGCCCATTTGACTGATCAGAGAGTTCCCACCCATTTTGTTCAACATCACACCTCTGAAGTGTTTTTTATCAAGGCTCAGTGTCTTTGAAATTGAATTCCGCACCTCACTCGTCACTTTTAGTCAGCATGACTATAAACTGAATGAAAGCTTCCCATGAAATCGGTCAACCGCTCTTCGGTTTGAAGAAAATTAGGATAAGGCAAAAAAAAAAAAATATTCGGTCTCTGGTCAGACCAAAGTTCCGGAATTGACGCGGCCACGCGGATTTTTTTTTTTTTTGATTTTTTTTCTTTTTTCTTCAAGCTTGGATTGTACAGACAAGGTGGGTACTATTTTGCTTTTTTGGTGTCCTCATGTACATTGGTGTCCTCCATAATTTGCCTTGGTGCTTTCGATCATTTGCCTTGGTGCAATTTCCCATTCCTTGGTGCTCTTTGGTAAAAAAAAATGAGGAGGTGCGGAAATAGAGGGGGCTGTTGGAGCTACCGCGGAACATTTTGGGAAAAAAAAGATCGACGCGCATTATTAAAATCGACGCGCGCGCTGACCAGAGACCGACTTATTTTTTTTTTTGGCCTAACCACATTTTTTTAATCTCTGATTTGTACTGGTTATCGTGCTTACCCATGCGGAATAAAAACAAAAACCACAAAGATGGCTGCTATGCAAAGGATCTATAAAATTGAGCTGTACGTGGATTAAACTACATGTACTACTACATGTACATGTGTACATACCTAACCTCAATAGGACAATACCACATTGAAATTAAGTTCCGCATAATTCACATTTCACAAACAACCCTTTTAATAATCCCACTGCAATGATGGCCCTGATCCCCTAGTGACTTCCCAAGGAATACGTAATGCAATGTGAGATGACACCTTCCAGAAAAGTGTCGGATTGATAAGAGGTGCTCAATACTGCAACATGATAGATCAAGTGTTTTGATAAGGACGCCATATAACACAATCACCAGATGAGACTGCAGTGAACGGTTTGGCATTTAGTAAGAACGCCAATAATCAGACACCATTGTCAGTTGTAATTGTATTGAAAGTCTATGGAGAGTTGAGTCAATTGTCTCGGTTCTGATAAAATTGGAAAAGTTTCTCAGTCTGAAACTTATTTTGTTATTAACCCTAACCTTCTCAAATCCTTCAAAATCCTCTTTGCAAAATGGGGGATTTTGCAGGATTGCGGCTACATGTGGCAAAAAATGTGTGGCTGATTTTGGAGGATGCACTGTGCCAAGGTCTTGGGCCGGACCTTGTGTTGTTCATGCTCAGCCATGCCTAAATTTAGGTCTATATTATACTTGAAATCCTCCACACTGCTCTAAGATACCACTGGCTCTGGCTCAACATATTGACAGCAATTGCTGGGGGATTTTGCAGGATTGAGGCAGTGGTTCTCCTCCAAGGACCACATTCGAGAAATAATGGAGGATTTTGCAGGATTGAGGCTGTATGCAAGTTTTACATGGAGGCAATTGGAGGATTTTGCAGGATTGAGGTTGCATCCTGGCAAAAATACCTAGCAAGGGCTAAACATGTTTGCAATGATTGACTGTTACTCAGTTATGTTAAATAAAAAAGTGACATTCAAGACACTGCATTCCTCCCAGGAACAAGTTCACTTGATATCAATGTTGATGTGTTTCCCTCGCAGGAAAAAAAACATGTGTCATTGAGCATGACTGTGATTCTGTTCTTGGGATTTGGCAAATTCCTACAAAGAGTACATCAAGTATGAGTGTGCACACAAATTCTGTGGCCTAAAAAGCCCAGTGGTTGCAGCGGGGCAGCCTTGCTGCATCCCACATGAAGTTCAAGGCCTGAATGACTCGGAACTACAACTACATGTATTTTGTGGGGAAAACATGTAATTCCTATTGCCTTTATCTCATGACATTTTGTGACATATCGGTATTTGAATCTATTTAAAGTCCTCAATTCCAAATAGTATGTAGGAATGGAACTGGGAAGCCACAAAAAAATGCGGAAATTCTAAGTTGATCAAGACTGTCTGCCGTAAAATGGGGAAATCGGCTGATACGAGGAAAAGTTGCGTGCCTGATAAACTTGGCTATATATAGCAAAATTACACACGCGCCTATGAAAGCGACTGAATCCACTTTCCACACACATACATGTATGTGTGTACTGCGAGCCATAGCCAAAGCCACACATATCTCTTCAAGCAGTCATAATGCTTTACATCTACTTTGCATATGGGCAAGTTGTGACCATGACATTTTACCACAATCCTCACAGGCTAAAGCTCACTAAAGTATGGCTTTTTTTGTTCACTTAATTAAAGGGACTATACATCATTGGCTTTTGCTGTAATTTTCAGAAATGAACTATTTGAGGGGTAAGTATAATAGATCAAATATTGTTACACTGACTTGTTTGAAGTTTTTTGTTCGAAAATGCTGGAAAAACCAAGAAAACAAAACTGTTCAAGTAGTCTGGTTCCCCGACTCCACTAAATATAAAATGGATCAATTTACAGATGCCAGAAAATTGTAAGATAAGGGTACCAGTCTAGCTGGCCTGCACCTGTTCATGAACATGTAACCAATAGCAAACAAAATTTGGACTGAAAAAAGGGTAAATTTGGAGCAGAAGTCGAAAAATAGTTAGCTTTTTCCCAACGATGGTCGGCCGACCAGAGTTGGAAATGTATACAAAAATACAATTTTCTTGAAAATGACTTCACACCAGGTGCCATAATTTTACAGGTTGCTTTAGACTGTCATTTACCAACGTCCTAGTGAGGTAAAAACTTGGTAGTTTTATTTTTCGATGTTTACAAATGTTGTATATTCCCTTTAAAGAGGCAGACATGTACATGTATATGCTATTCCTGGAAATTTACTAACAAGTCAATTTTTACTCAATATACAGTACATAACCTATGGGCCCAATTACATGTAAATTCACTGAGTCCATGTACTAATCTTTTCAAATGCACCTACACTAATTAGAGGTTAATATTTCATTTATATGCAAAAAAAAGCAACTTGCCAATATATTTATACGTGAGGTATTGATTTCTCTGCTATAAGGCCAACCACTTTTCTGTGAATTCAGTCTCTACAATAGGAATGACAACCAGGCAGAAATGATAAATTTCACAGTAATTTTTTTTCAGCAGGTTTGATATATTTGTAAAAAAAGTTAACCAGTAACAGGTAGCTGTTGAAAATACATGTACATCTGTACAGGTATTATATGTACCTAAGAGAAGCCAATATAAACACTTGACTTATAGCACTGAACACTTCAAACATTTCATACCACATATATGCATTCTCAGTATCAATTTGTGAGCTCTTTCGATGGACAACACACATACATAATAAAGTTGGCTTTTAGTATGCAAGCATGCATAATACTACATACATGTACATGTACATGTGCATGATGAAAATGCACACATACATGTACTTGTTCCGTAGTTCTGGGGACATACACTCGTCTGTACGAGGTATTTCTGGGGTCCAAAAATGCTGTGAGGGACAGCAGAAAGTGCCGTAACTCGGTCCTGATTTGCTTAACAATAAAAAACTTCCCCATAACGCGGTGTATGCCTGCACATGAATGTATACATATAAATGTGTTAAGTACATGTTAAATACATGTACATACTCAGGGTTCTCCCCACGTACAAACGTGCGTATCGGCCCGATACGCTGGAATTGTGGCCCGATACGCCGACAAAAATGCCGATCACATTTTTCAGCCCCCGATACGCACAATATAATTTATTACACAAGCCATTAAAATGCACAACATTATCGTTTCATACGCCATTATTTCATCTTGACATTCAAAATCTTGACAAAAATCCCGTATTTCTGATGCTGCATGTGTGATCAAAATGCACACGATGACGGGTCTTTCGCGACGACCGCCAGCACCCAGCTATATATTAGCGCATTCAGCATGGTACACTGGTTCCCTTCGCGTGCTAACAGTATCAATGCTATGATGAAGGACCGCAAACCAGTGACTACTGCCTTGTACGTGCATACATGATGATTTCGGCCGAAGTTGGATCGTAAAAACACCAAACAAACATCGATGGAGAAAGAGAATTTCTGCAAATTAATTCACAGAACGTGATCTCTATTTTCTGTGTATGTATTTTCCATTAAAATGACGAGATTGCAAAGCTCGAACGTATGGCGAAACATCGTAAGCGTAGCATGCTTCTTAGAAGCAGTGGTGCAAAATTTTCAGCCACATGGGATGGGCCGTACACAGTTCAGTAATGCACAGCGCGATGTACAGCCGGCCAGACTGAATGTTGACGGCGCCAGGGGCCATGATGTACGTTAAACATATTGTGGAATCATATATTTTTAATTAGGTGAGGCAAGTTTTAATCACTTTTGACGGTCAGTCTTGATAATTTTCGTGGTGCAAAGGAAAATAATCCAGGCACAAAACTACATGATTCCTTGTTCAATATGCTCCATTCAATCAAGTGTTTTTATTCCTCCATGATTCAATCAGCAGCCCAAAAATTGGCGAAATAATTTTTCCGACTTACCGACGCTATTTTGAAAGGCATGTAATCGGAAGCAAAAGTGATATTTTTCTTCACCTTAATTTCTTAATTTGAAACTTGCTTGTTAATATAATTCATACTTTCTAGATCAGGAAGTTTTAACACAGGTTTTGAAATGTTGATTTTTTTTTTTAAGTTAAAAATTTTAATATATTTTTTTCTTTAATTACAAAAAATATCACATGATCTCCTCTAAATTTTAAGGGAAAATCTTCCTCAAAGACTCCCCAGATTTGCTCTAAAATGCACCAGAGAGCCTCTAAAGTTCAAAATTTTTCGGGGCCCTTAAGCGGGCCCCGAACCCCACGCCATGGCTTCGCAGGTTGGTGAATCACAACAAAACTTCCCCCACAGGTTTGAAAAAATCCTGGGGAGAACCCTGATACTTGTACATGTACATGAGTTATTCTATACATTTAAGGTCCAAAGTGTGACTTTTTATTGTTCCTGTTACGTTGGTACTTTGTAATTTTCAAGTATCATTAATCCTAACCCTATGAGCTCTTTTTGCGAGGAACCATTATCAATCCTCCAAAATCCTCCAAAGTTTTGCATTTATGTGCAGGATACCCACTGCCTCAATCCTCCAAAATCCTCCTCTTCTTCAAACACCATTCATCCTCAATCCTCCAAAATCAACCGATACTGAATATCCATGTGTCCTCAATCCTCCACAATCCTCCAAAATTGTATGTTGCATTCAGCCCCAATCCTCCAAAATCCTCTAAAAACCACCCGGAGGACTTTGGAAGATTGAAGAAGGTTAGGGTCACGAACGTTCTTTGAGCAATTTGTTGGATAGGTGGTTTGCTATTCATAATCACTCTTGGAGGATGACTGCGTTAAGGAGGGCATCAGAATTATAAAATCACACTATGTCAGCAACAGAGACAGGAAAAAGAAAACAGACCCCAAATTTAGAGAATTACCTACATGAAGGCCTATGTATACTTCTGGTGTACTACTATTTTTAAGCTGAAAGGAGCAATCCTCACACATACGCTGTGTAAATGGTGATTATTAAATTATGCACACAATAAAGCCAGATCAGGTGTCACAATTGACCCCAAAGTCTCAGTTAAGGCCTGTAACATATCTACACAATAATTGGTTGATTTAAGACAACTGACCTTATTGATGCATGACATCATCACACATCAAGCATAGAAGACATTTGTTAGTGAACTGGTAAGAATACCTAATTAATGTGTATTTTTCATTTTGCACGGGAAGATTTGGTTAGTTTGAACAACTGTCTGTGCTAGTTTTATCAATTTAACCCCGAGAAATAAATTTGTTTAAATGCTAGTTTATTGTCTAATATTTACAAAGATACACCGACCCCACCAGCATGTTCACAACTAATTTCAATAAGCGTATTTATGATGATCTGATGAATGAGGCCTACAATCAGAAGAGGACCTGTTGGAACATGTAAAGTACCTGTAAGTACAAATATTAACCCTAACTCCCTGGGCCTTTTTGCTAGGATGGTAGCCTCAATCCTGCACAATCTTCCAATTGGCCTCATGGAAAAATAGCATATAGCCTCAATCCTGCAAATTCCTCCATTATTTCTTGAATATGGTCCATGGAGGGGTGACCACTGCCTGAATCCTGCAAAATCTTGTGGCAGTAAATGTCAATACGTTGAGGCTCGGCCAGTGACATCCTGGAGCAGTATCGGAGGATTTCAAGCATAATCCAGGCCTATATTTATGCTTGGCTGAGCAAATCATCCTGGAGCAGTATCAGAGGATTTCAAGCATAATCCAGGCCTATATTTATGCGTGGCTGAGCAAAAACAACACAAGGTCTGGCCAAAGACCTTTTCAAAGTGCATCCTACGAAATCAGTAGCGCATTTTTGCCATGTAACCTCATTCCTCCAAATTCCACCACTTTGGCAGAGAGGCTTTTGAAGGATTCAGGGTGATTAGGGTTAGAGTTACTCACTTTTTAATCAAACATAATAATATGAAATAGTTCTTAAGGGGTAGACTGGTTCCTGTGCCTAACAGAATAAACAGTGAAAGGACTGGGAACCAGTCTACATGCAGAGCAGATTAGTGAAAGCAAGCAATAACAAATTCCTTTTGATCTGGATGAAAAGTGAAATTTCCCGTTCAATTCCGAGAGCTCCCCTCGATAATCGATGCATCGCACGCGCTCGGTAACGGAATCGCACTCGTGATACGGGGACCATCGAATGTACGCTGGGCATGAAGAAGAATTGCGTCGTTCAAACATTAACACGAGTCGGAAATTTAACGTGTTCAAGATCGCGAGGGGAGCTCTCAGAATTTAACGGGAAATTTCACTTTTCTTCTGGATCGTAAGTACACTTCAGTACAACCATCTTAATCATCGATGTCTACTTGTACCTCAGGTGGCATATCTAGTAATTTAGAGGCCGTTTTGAAGGTGAAATCTGATGGTGTTTTGTTGGAAAATGTTGGTTTTTGGGACAGTGACAGGATTGTGTTGTCCAGCTCGCACTATTACTTGGACCTTACTATCACCAGACCATGTCCAAATGTTAAAAAAAGGCGATAAGTTGGGTCCAAGTTACTCGGACTAGCTAAGCACAAAAGGAACATGGTGAACATGGATCATTCATCATCAATCATGATCATCATGGTGAAGTTAATACAAATGTTAGGAATAGGCCTACATGTTTTCCGATTAAGGTATGGGTCTTGTTACCAATAAATACACCCGAAGTGCCCGACCAAAAACAGTTCCATCATGCCGGGCAATTTGCCCACACATTTTGATGTATCTTGACTTTACATCATTTGTACATGTGGGTCTACCGGTACCGACCCGGTTCCATCATGATGACGTACCACTGAACACGTATTCACGCGCACACACACACATATGAATGCGGAAATGTCCACCAGAAAGTCTCGTTTTTCCAACCCAATTTCACCATACTTACTATTCGGGATTCATTGTGGACATGGCAAGTGTAATCCCAGATCTAATAAGTCTCTTTCCCGTTCACTCGTGGACGGAAAAATTCACGTAGGGCCGCTTCGAATTTCAGGGCTGGAAATTTCGTAGTCAGGTGCAGGAAGTTCCAATATGGCTGCCGATATGAAGAAATAAATTGCTTATGCGCAGGGGGTGTAGTCATTGGATGGAGGTGACGTCATCAAACGACGTGGCATCACCTGACCTCTATCTAAACCCACAGGACAATGTGCGGCATGCAGAACAACTTGAATCTCAGCCAGAGGATGAGCAGTTTCTATTTCAATTTCCAATTCTTAGCTTATTATTTCGATGTCACACACACGATAAATATTTTTCTAGCAATGATTCAAGGAAATTGACGTGTTCATAATTTGCGTGCGCTTCTTGCCAGCTGTCCTTGCTCTATGATCGGCCTAACGTGTGGCAGCCCCTAACGTGGCCGGGCGCCGCGGCACTTTGATTCTGCTCCTCTAAGTTCTCTAGCAAAAGTTTTACCTGAAATTTCACAGTAGGTCTAAACATTCCCAGTCATAAATCGTGAGTTTATCTACCCGTTACAAAGTTAGCAGAGAAATGTATTTTGGCGTGATTTTCCGATTTTATTTCGAGGTGCACAGTCCGGAACCCTTTGAAAATGCGCCAAAAATAAGAAAATAATTTTCTAACAGACTTCTAGTTGGGTATCATTATGTAAGTAGACATAATAATGGTTTATCAGAATTTATCAGCTTTAAACAAATTATTAAATGTTAACTTGGGATTTTCCGAGAGAAGTGCGCCAAGTTAGGTGACAGTCAGCCGATTTTGTGCCCGATTTCCGGATGCCACCGTTTTTGAATTTCGGACCGTAATTTAATGACACTGAAATTGTTCACAAAGATGAAACAGCAAGCCTTAGTAAGGTAACAATACCAGTATTTAACTGAAAAAAAGAAGTTTTGCAACTCTGCATGAGGAAAGTCGGGAAAAACGTTGAAGTGCGCCACGTTAGGGAACACCACTACGGTTTCTCGGCCCGGGCCTTGTCCTTGCTGCAGTAGCTGAGGTTAAACCAAAAAAACTTTTGACTCGAGAAATGTAGCAACTAGCTACCCCATCTCTTTTTGGGGGGTGGTTCGGATGGGAACAAAAGAAAATTTAGCCTTGATAATCTTTCATTCAATGATGAAAATGTTTTAGCGATTGCCTCCAGGTGAGCATTGGGAGCGACGCCCTCTCCCTTAAGTTGAGCAGCTGTTTTGATGAGCAAAGAAAAGCCAGACGGAATAAGGAAACACGTTAAAACTAGAGATATGTCTGTTCAAACAGAAGATAGGGCTTTTTTGCATATTTTACAAATGTTTGTCCTTTTGCAGTCACTTTTTAGAGTGCTTGATACAGTTAAAGGTTGTTCAAAATGCTTAGAATAATAACACAAAAAATAAAGTTTTATCACATGACGCCACATGCCCTGCGATGACGTCATCTTGACAACACTTGTCAATGCACTTTGTCATTGTTGTCTTGGTTTGTTCAAAGCTTGAAGTCAAGCCGATGAAAGGAAGTGTACAATTTCGGAAGCGGAATTTTAAATATTAAAACAAATCATTAAAAAAAATCAACCGATATCTACCAACTCCGTTAAAATGACGTTGCGGGTATGATTTTTCTATACATAACCATTATCTATTTCTTGCTTATGATGGTTACTATAATTGTCCGTGTGTAACCGATGATTAACGTATGATGAGAATTGGACGCCGGGAAAAATGAAATGAACTCGCCGACCTCTCTTGTTTCCAAAGTACATCAGCTTATCCGAGAGAACCTAGGGAGAATTAAGACGTCCAAAGTGAAATTATTCAATCGATTCAATAGGCCTAGACAGTTACTACTGCATTAATTTTTTTCCCGAACTCTTCCGGGCATATTTTTTTTCACTCTAAAACATCTGGTCCCTACTTGCGGCTGATAGACTGCTGATTCTCCAGCAACAACTTTAGTCCAGGCTGAGATGTTGTTATATCTCATCGGTAAATTCTCGAGCTTCTAGCTCGGGGGCCGTGACCTTAAGATCGATCAAGGATTCGGATCCCACAGGGTCGGTCTTATCGTTTTCATAATTTAATTTAGCGTATCAGCAGTACTTTAAGCGCAATCGATAAGCGTTTCGTCTGGGACTATTCTGAAGCCGTATGAGGTACACGTGGCTCTAGCGCCGACTGTACTTGCAAGGCAAGGGCCGATCGCGACATCGCTTTGTAATATAATGTCAGCGGCGGCGGAACGCTTTTCAAACGGGGGGGGGACATCACCAAAAAGGGGCACTTGCTCAGAAAAAAAGGCACCTTCCCTCGGCGTGAAAAAGGACAAAATTGTTAAGCTATTTTCTTTCAAATTGCAAGGAATATGTTACCCGAAACAAAACTTTTTTTAATCTTAATTCCCTTACTCAAAAATTACAGTGTATGCCTATTCCGGAAACAGTCGCGATATAGCCGTATTGTTCTCAAATAAAGTCATTTCTCCGGCACAGCCCCGGCAGTAACCTCTCTGGGTCCGCCCTTGAATTGACTAGTTAGGCCTATGCAGAGGACCATTTTTTTATCGCGAGAGGGGCAATGTTGCTTTTGATAGCCAGTTCAGTGACCATTTTATTCGCGTGAGGAGCACTATTATTTTTGTTTACACTGTTATTTCGGTTGTGTAAAAATCAGACGGTTGTGTACTATATAAACCTATATAGCAACCCATTGTGTACTGTTGTTTACACAACTTGTGTAAAATATTACACAACTTGTTCAATTTTTTTTTACACAACTGGTTGCTATAGGTTCATATAGTACACAACCGAAATAACAGTGAGGCCAGTTTTGCATCTTGAAAGGGGCACAGTTTTAATGTTGCGAGCGGGCACTAGTAGTTGTGCTTTCGAGGGGCAGTTTTCCATCTCGATAAGTTATCGCGAGGAGCACTATTGTTTTTGATGGTCATTTTCTCATCTCGAGAGGGGCACACTTTTATTATTACGAGAGGGGTGTTTGTGCTTTCGAGGGATAGTTTTCCTTCTCAAGAAGGTTCACAATCTTGTTAATGCGCGAGGGGTAAATGTATATATTTTGAGGGGCACTTTTGCATTACAAGAGAGGAGACCATTTTTAAGCGCGATCATAATGCTTTCATGCGTGCGTTTTAGGGGCAGTTTTGTTTACATCTCCAGGGGCCACATTAATGACTGCGAGAGGGGCACTTTTGTTGGCTGGGGAAATCGGGGGAAGGGAGGGGCAAGTGCCCCCTCGCCCCCCCCCCCCCCCCCCCCCCCCCCCCCCCCCCCCCCCCCCCGTTGTTTGAATAAAATGTACAATTTGAACGTTTATTAATAAAAAGAAAAATCTAATTCATTGAAGAGCACGGGCAACGAACTTTAAACGAAATTCTTTACTTGCTAGACCTAGCAATGCGTTCGCCTTTTGCAGCATAATTTGGTCAGTTTATTTTAGGATGTCACCACTGATCGATGTCGGAAGTCAAACATTCACTTTGGACATAAATGTGGAATGAGAAAAAAAATGGCGTTCGTATGATTCCAAGTCCGTTGCGGACAAAGTACACCGTATTGTTGATTATATTGTACGATATTGACGCACATTGTATTGTATTGGGGAATTTTAGTTTAATGAACGGATCATGATTGTGTAGAGAATGGTAGCTTAATTAGCAAGCTTTCTATTGTTATTGCTACGATAGTTGTAAATAATTACATGTTGTGCATTTTATTGTATAAGTTTCGTAATGTAAATATTATGGAGATTAAAATATCTCCAACACATGGAATTAAAGCTCGGTGTGGTGAATAAGCGAAATCTTTCTGTGCAGGTTAATGGTAGCGTATACGTTCGGTGCATGCAAGGGATCGGGAGTGCATTGTTTTTCTTTTTGAAAAGTTAACTTCATTACCTTTTCGTTCGTAAAAAAAATTGTCAGATTGATAAAAGGAATAAAAATGCGGCGGGGGTGGTTGGGGAGTGATCCGCCCAGTTTATGTTAAGCAAGGAATCACAATGAGTTTTCACAATGAGTCCTGGTCATCAGAAGTGGACTCATAATTATAACCACATGTCGAATTATTACCCTACTAAGATTTGGTTGGTCAAAAGTTCAGGACTCTTAGTTAAAATAGAGGGCGCTGTACGTTTGTACCGAATCGAACATTTTAGGGTTGCAGACCAGTAAATAAACTGCCATAGTCCCCAGTGATAAATGCCCCCACTTCAGAAATTCAGGAAAAATACTCACAACTCTCCAAGGTGTTCGTGACACACATCAAATTAAAGCTTATTTCATCATCTCTCATTTTCTTTTCAATTTTAGGGGTTTAACTGATGACTTTTAGGAGAAATTTCCATCGAGCTGCACAGTTTTAATTTCAGTGGTCCAAGCTAGCAGGCTTATTGAGTCTTCTATGATAATCAGATATACTGGGATCCACTATTAAGGTGTTCACTTTTGTCTTTCATGGGAAATTTTGTGCGTTAAATATGTTTATTTGGCTGCTGAACGTGCATGTAAAACAAATTCACAAAACGAGTCCACATCTCATAATAACACTATTGCTGGTGAGGTTCCATTGGTAAGCTGCAAAATAAATAAATAAATAAATAGATAAATAAATACACCTACTCTAACAAAACGGTGCCTAATTTGTTCTATTTTAGCAAATGAATTTTCCGATTTTATTTCTCCCCAGTTCACCCCACCCACTCCCGAATGATATTTTATTTCTCAACCTTTTCCAGATGAGAAATTGCAATGGCTCCTGAAAACAAATATATCTAGTGTCCCTCCCAATAGTCAGTAAAGAACCGCGCCTGCAAATGCACGAAAGGTACATAACCGCTTAATTAATGATTTCTTCATACATTTTTTTTTACATTCCTGTAAACATTAAATACATGTTACTAATCTTTTTTCTGAAATAAAGAGTTTTAAAAAGTCTCTTAAGTGTTGATCACGCTTCAAAACTATTCAGGCATCCCGATTCGATGTGAATGAAGAAGTGAACACTTAGATGAGGTCCGTGAGTGCAGGTAGAAGTAAAATATTCACAAAGAAGGTTCGTCAGTTGCCCCCCCCCCCCCATTTTTGTAGCCAAAACT